GACTTCGACTCCATCGATTCATCAATAGGTCCGACAGCAGGCTTCATACATGCCAACAATCACCTCACTCATCGAATCAGAGGTGGGGAAGAGAGCCGTGCTCTTTCCTAATCCAAGGAACTCCGGCGTTCGAGTTGTGTGCAGTTCGTATATCACATCAGGTAAAACAGAGAGAATTCCAGGTTGTTCACCGAGTGATTCAGCTTCCTCGGCTGTTAGCATGGTTGAGTAGCCATGGACTACGTTTTCATATTGGTAAAGAACGGATGCTGAGCCCGAGACAGATTTTAAAGATGAGTCATACCAGAGGGAGTGATGAATGAAACTTTCTGGCATGTTGGACTTGTCCATGTGGACTATGTAAGTCCTTTTGGCTTGCTGGATCTTCTTCTCTTCTGCTACGATGCATGCATAATACAAACTCAGAAACAGAAAGATCTCGACTGGTTTGAACTTCAATGACTTCATGGCTTTCAGTCTAGGAAAGGAAGAACAGCTGGAGTTTGCAATTTCACTTCTCTCGATTGCTGAATGCATTGGTCACCAAGGGTCTACTATATGAGGAGAGATTGGTTTGACCCCATAATCGGTTCCCGACAAAATATCCCTTGTAGAAAATTTTTCTTTTAATGATTGATGATTAAAATAATAATGGTTATATTCCTCAAATCTAATCAATTCTATTGCAAGCTATTATTATCAACAACTTGGGGGTATAGAATCAAGTGGCAAATTAATGGCTACTCATGTTTATAATCTTCTAATTTAGGAATTTGAAAAAGACTGAAGTTATCACAGATTTAGTTTAGAAATCCAAGGTAAAAGATAAGATTCCAAAATTTAAAAACAGTTAGGCACACTGTCACACTTGTTACAGGTAAGCAGAGGTCCTGTCAATTTTAGTCATTTTAATTAGACAATTACATGCCATCAATCATCATCGCTGTTGAAATGGTGAATCTTACCGGCAAATATGCTCATTCAACATCTACGTGAACCGTTGAAACAGAATCTGCAACGACAATTTAAGTGATTATTACAACAAGTTATCCCACCATCGTATTTCATTGTAAATTAAAAACTTCAACGACAATGATAATTTATGTGATTATTCCAACATGTTATCTTTTCTTGTAGATCAGCACTCCCTTTACACCCAAAATCCCACCTTCATCGTACTACGTAAATTGATGGTGGAGAATCCACTAATTCCCCGTTCGTTGAAATTGCTGACAAGGATTAAAGTTACTGGCTGTTTAACTTTTTCTTTAGTCCAATAAGTGATCATTATCAGGCTGCCAGTGCCATAGTGGAAGCTCATGGATCGGCCATTTCCCGAAGGCCAAAACAACTAATTCTAGCTGATGTATCAGGCGCTTATTAAAACTAAGGACAGTTATTATCCCTGTATTATCTATAGGAGTTAAGAAGCCAAAAAACTTCTAGAAAGAACTACGGGTCAAAGGAGACAAAGTCTCATGGCATAAATTGTTATAGTTTTATCTACACGTCCCCAAACAAAGCATGATTACATGGATGGCAATTCTGGATAGACTCCCAACTAGGGAGAGGCTACTGAGAATGAGAATCGTTACCGACGGTTCGTGTATAATCTACAATGAAGCTACGGAGACTAAGGACCACCTGTTTAGTGAGTGCTTAATGGCAGTTTCCTTATGGAAGGCTATTTCGAATCTCTCCGGCTTAAGCACTCCTACTTTACCATGGAATAGCATGTTACAATGGGCCAGTAGTTCTTGGAAAGATAAGTCGCTCCTCACAACTATCTTGAAACTTGCTTGGTGTGCTTTAATCTATTCCATTTGGGAAGAAAGAAATAGAAGATTGTTCCGAGTAAGCAAAAGGAGTGAGAAAGAAATTCTGATTTCCATTCAAGAGATTGTATGTATTCAATTAAGAGACATTAATATAAATAGATTAGATAGTATAAATTATTACCTTTGTAATCGTTGGGGTGTTGACAATCCTTTCTGTTGTAAGTAGTTGTTCTTTATCCTTCTGAAGGGATATTTTATGTAGCATAACTCTTCACATTAGATAATAAAATTAAAATTATCCAAAAAAAAAACAACAACTAATTCATGCTGAGAAAAGATGATTTAGAATCCTGTGCAGTATGTGAACATCGAGTCATTAAATCTTATTGCCTAATAAAATTGGCATAAAAGTAATAAAAAAAAGGTTGATTAGATGGTGGAATTATTGGATTGTTTAATCACAGCTGAAACGAAAGGTTTGTTTCTCCCACTTTATCTGAGTGGCAATTTGCTGGAAATGGACCCCTACTCCTCTAATGACAGCCATGTATTCTTTGGATCAGTGTCGTTTAGCAATTAGTTCTGCAATAATTTTTGTCTAAACGAACAATAAGTCTTTGACGGAACTAATTTATTAACTTTACTCCTTTTGAAAGTGGATAGCAACAGGTGTCATCTCTTGAAAGCGTCACTCAGTTTCAATTTTTATCATGTGAGGCTCTTCATTGATTGATTGCTGGGTTTCAACTAAACTGATCTTAGCCGACTCAAAACATTTAATGTTGGACCTGAAAAACATTGGGTTATCTAAGGTATTTTGTGCAGTATATCATGTTCAATCAATAGTGTTATGGAACAATATGCACATTGGACCATTTACCGTTGCAGGTGGTTCATTTTCATGTCGGTATCTTATCAATTTCAGTTCACATTCAATCATGTTGACAATACAAAAAGATATAAAAACGCCTGAAAAAATGGTTGGCTGGCTGTGGTTTCAGAATCTTCAAGCTTTATGCAGTTCCTTGCGCCTTTTTTGTTCATGGAATCAATGCTTTCGTGGGACTCTTTCATCTTTAAAGGCCGCATATTTCCTGTCCCCGACCACCTCCATTGCTCTCCATCAATCAACATATTTGATAATTTGTGTTTCTCAACAGGACCAATTACCAGTTCCTTCCATTTTCTAAACTCTTTTAGGCTCCGGTTTGCTTCCAAATATCGTTATATGGCTCGAGTTGCAAGCAAATATTAGGGCTGGGGAGGCTTGGAAACATGTAGAGATACAATCCTTATACTTGACCGGTAGTTTTGTGGTATGACATCCTAACGTAAGGTTAATTTTAAGTAATTTTAACGTAAAAGGTTATATAAATTTATAATATTTTGATTGCAACGTGTCTAACCAAAAATATCACTCTATCCAACTTATAATTTTTTGCATTTGATAAAATTTTCGATTATAATAAATTTATACAGTCTTTTAACCTTATGTTAACGAGTTGTATTTTAGATTTTTTTTTTGTAATTGTAGTTTATAATATAATAAAAAATAACTAGAATTCTATCTGTTTCAGATTTTTTATATATATATTCCATATTATTTTTAGGATTTTGTCTTCTAGAAGAACGTACGTATATGTATTAGAGCATGTAAGTAGGGGTGTGCAAATTTAGATATCGGATCCGATCTGAAAAAATATACCCAAAAAAATATCCTAATTTGATTTGATTAAAAAAATAATTTTATATTTTATATTTTATATTTGTGACTTAATGTAACTTATTCGATATATCTACTATAAATATATAATTACTCACACATAATAAATAATTAAATATCCTAATTTTTAATGGACTTGAGCTTTAATGAGTTGGTAAGTTATTTATTGGGCTAAAAATTATCTAAAATCTAAAAATTCAAATTTTGTTTTTTGATTTGCAGATAATCCAAAATTAAAATTTATCTAATCTGTATTTGATCTGATTATACGAAATAATTTTAAATATTTGATCTGAATTATCCAAAAATCACAAAATAAATCAAATATTCGAATTTCCATATAGGATGGATCAAATTTTTTGTACACCTTTACAGGTAGTATGAATGATGAGATTTGAACTATATTATTACGCATAAAGGACATTAAAATCTGAATCATATTTTTATACATAAAAAGATATTATATGGGTAAATGTGAAACCACTTGAATTATGTTCTTATAAACACGAATCTTAGTATCTGTGACGCATCTTCGAGAGATAAAATCTCTTCAGAGATAATATTGAACATGTTCTAGATCCCGTCAACATTTTTAACCACTATCGTTATGATTATCAATCCATGAGTGAAAATATTTAAAAAAAAAACTATAAAATTTAGGCTTAGTAGTAAAAAAAAATCAGTAAAAACAAAAACAATTAAACTCTTAAGGAAAATTTAAATCCATTTAAGTTTCTGTAATAAAAAATTTAATGAGGTAAATCTCTCTGTTGACATTGATTATATTGACAATATTTTTTGGAGTCATTAACATATAATTCACGTGAAAGATTTAATTAATTATTCTATTTGATATAAAATCATATAATTAATCTATTAGATTCAATATATATAAATGTATATATTCTATAATACTTTGAGATTTTTTAACGTATTATATTCCATTAGTAATAATTTTAATTCTTTAGGGAGGCAACAAAATAGAGGTTACTATTATAGTTTTCAGGTCACCGATTATAAAAAAAACTCAAGCTCGCATTTATGCAATGATAAAAGATTATGAGTTTTCTCATCATCTACTAGCATGTCGTCTTTTTGAAGAAATTCATTATATTATATTAAAATCGCATGAATAATAAGATAATTTACGAGTCTTGTCCCTCTAAAACGTTCCAGTGCCGTCCATAATATGAAATTCTTCAAAGCCCATTTTTATTTGAAGGCCTGCATTGCTTTCAAACCTGATTTTTTTGTGGATAATATTTTTTAATTCATCAATTGATTTTTATTGGATACTGTATCTTAGTCGTGGGACGATCCTCGTAATCTAATTACTCTATTTATAATATTAGGATTTAAATTATAAATTTTATTTAAAGAATTTATTATTCTATCTTATTAGATTAATTTTTTGAGGTTGATACTCCGGTAATTTAACAAAGGAATAGAACAAATACACGCATAAAATGCACTTTATGTGAGCTGTGGTCATGCAAATTGGCCTCATCACCAGAACAAGCCGAGTACGCTCCGGTTCATATCGCACCTCTCCACGTCCAATGCCACCACAGTGCATAGGTTTTGCACGTATATATAAATGCTCCTCCGTAACAGTGCCAACTCGTTCACTAAGATACGTATTTTGCATGGGTTTCTAAATTAACTCTCTGTTTTAATTAATTACTTTTCCTTTGAGCATTTTCTTACTGTATTTTTATGATTAATTTGTTGTGGAGTCATGAAAAGAAGTAGTGCAATGTTTTGGGGAGTGGTTTGTTTGTGTTTGTGGTTTTCTTCGACTTGTGTCGTTGAAGCTAAGAGGAAAGCAAGGTTTTCGAGTGATGTGAGTCGTAGAATGATAGGTATGGGATTAGGACACAGGCGTGGTGAAGTATTCGCCCATCATGTAACTGCAGATAGTGGTTATGGAGACTGCCCTGGTGCTGGTTCAGGGAGTAAGGGATGTGTAGGCCGTGATGGTGGTAGTGGCGGCAGAGGGGGAGGTATGGGCAATGGAGGAAGTGGTGGTTTTGGAGGTGGGGGAGGTGTTGGCAGTGGCGGAAGTGGTGGTTTCGGTGGTGGGGGAGGTGTTGGCAGTGGCGGAAGTGGTGGTTTCGGTGGTGGGGGAGGTGTTGGCAGTGGAGGAAGTGGTGGTGGGGGAGTTGGCAATGGGGGAAGTGGTGGTTTCGGGGGTGGGGGAGGTTTTAGAAGTGGGGGAAGTGGTGGTTTCGGTGGTGGCGGCGACGGAGGTTATGGAGGTGGCGGTGGTGGCTTTGGTGGTGGCGGTGGCTTTGGTGGTAGCTACGACCCGGGGCGTGGGGTTGGAGGTGTAGGGTTTGGTACTGGCGGTGGCTACAGTTACGGCAATGTAGGAGGTGGGGGTGGTGGAGGAGGGTGGTCAGGAAATGGCGACGGGGGATATGGTTCTCCAGGTGCAGGAAAAGGTGGCAAATATGGTTCAGCTTCTACATCTCAAAAGGACCATCCACGGAAATAACACTAATGATCAATGTTGTTGGGGGAGAGAATAAGGATGATATTCTCCAATTCATAGTTTCCTCAATTCTCCATTTTCTTTAGATTTTCATCAAATGTTGTGTAAGTTGGCTGCATCCTATGATATTTAAGGTTGTTATCTGTTTTCTAGTAAATGTTACAAAATGACAAGTCAGGGGACAATGAAATTTTTAATTTCATAAATAAATTTGGAAAAGTTGTTATATAGGTAGTCTTTTTATCTCACTCAAGTGATTAACAGTCCATTATTGACAGAATAAATAAACAACTTTGTGACTAATTTAACCTTTGATATTTCTGAATTGATACGGGATTAGCTTAAAACCTTTTCAGATCCAAACTTTTTTGGGTTCAGTATGAGCAGATTTTCGGGCTCAGACATGTTTGCTAGCTCTAGATGGGTTGATGTGAAAAATGATTGCAAACTCCCATCCAACAACTTGAAATTTAATCCAATGCAATGCAAATTTAGGACTCTTAAGGGTCCACCACTACTTGGTGTGCCGATTTCCACCAAGGGCCCTTGCAACCACCAACTAAACATTTATAGCGAATGAGCTCCAGCTGTAGGCTTTTACCCTCATAAGCTCCCATCTAAATGAAGCATGCACCTTGCTGACTTTGCGAGCCTATTCATTAATTAACTAGGTGTCCTTTTGACTAACACAGTGACTACACTTTCCATTCTATTTATCACTCAAATTTAATATCACCACCAAAATATAAGATTATCCTTCTTTTTATTTCTGTATCCCACTTTACACACCGCAGTTGGCTTATATATAAGTCTTTCACTCTCAATTTCCTGTGGACTCTAATAGCAAGCGAATCTTTTCTTTCTTGGTCTTTTTTTCTGGGTTGTAACTTCTTTGTCGCTTCCGTGGTGAGCCGAAAAATCTTAGAAGAATTGCAGCCGTCATGGGAGGAGGCAATGGCCAGAAATCAAGGATGGCTCGTCAGAAAAACATGGAGAAGAACAAACCTGCTAGAGGTAAACTTACTCTACTTTCACACCGTGAAATTTCATCCACCAGCTTTGAAGTTTATAACTTTTCTTTTCATGCGATCCTACTAGGCAGTCAGCTGGACTCAAACAAGAAAGCCATGACGATCCAGGTAAACTGTAAATATTCAAACTTAGAAATATACACATATATGTTTAATTGTTTATCCTTGAAGCCCTGTAAGTGAGAACCAAGTTTAAAAGAGGTTTGTGAATATGGATTGATGGTTGCAGTGCAAGGTGTGCATGCAGACGTTCATATGCACCACATCAGAGATGAAGTGCAAAGAACATGCCGAAACAAAGCACCCAAAATCTGACATCTATGCTTGTTTCCCTCACCTTAAGAAATGAATGAAATTATCCATGAAGGAAAAGAAAAGAACTTGCAGGTTGGACTTGAGTTTCCATTTCTTGTATTTTCTTTTATCATAAAATCTTAAGTATGTCAAAAAAATCCCGAAGGTGTATCGGATCATATAAAAAAAGTTCAAAATGTTCCTGCTATTATATATGACCATAAGTAAAATTATCTGTTTCAAGTTTCAACCAACCTATTATATAAGGCAGATTCTGGGAATTGAGTTTGTCTCCATTGTCAAGCAGAGCACCTAAAGAGTTCAATCTAACAAGACTGCAAGACAGTTTCTTATCCGTAGCATTACCACTTGTCTCATAAAGGAATATAAATCCCAACAAGACTACAAGACAACCAATCTTCATATTTAAAAGAATGAATGAATTTTCATGTACACTTTTAAACGAAGCGGTGTTTCTAATTGGCACCAGCAAAAGCATCCAGAACTAAAGATATCAGAATGTTAAGCCACGGACGAAGATGAGATTACCTTCAACATTATAATCCACTTGCGACGTGATGGAATGAAGCCAATTCTAAAAAGGGCTGCTTCTAAAAAAACTCATCGTTAATTGGGTCGGGCATTACAATTCCTATAGAAAATTGGAAATGCGTTTTACAATGCCGTTCCTAGCATTTCAAATGTCGACTCCGTTAGTAGAGGACCAGAGTGCCACAAACATAACGTCTCGGCCCTGTTGTTATGTCGTGCGACACTTGAATGGGAAAACTCCCAGATAAATCAGCCTTTCCCAACATAGGTTCATACCTCGAATTAACCCATCAAGAAGCCAAGTCACACTGGCTAAGGATCATCTCTCAGTTCATTAGTCGATCCCATAATATTATGTCCGAACAAACAAGACTCACATTAGTCTCGCGCCACAATATAATTCCAAAGCCATAAGTACTCTTGGAAGGGAGATCCCGCGGGGCATAGCGAATGCTCGAAGGCAACCCCACTCCTCAACCAAGAGCGCGATATAAGGCCCACAGGCCCTAAACCGTCCCTAAATATCATCCTAGAGAGACATCGTACCATCCACTTTGTCCCAATGCCCGCACACTTAGGTTCCTCATAAACCTAAGAGAAGGTCGCTTACACCATGATAGCTCCACATGCTAGCTCAGGGTGAGGGGTGGTGGAGACTCAACACCAGATCACTTCTCCCTAAAGAACTAAAGAAACTTACCAACTATGACACCAGTACGCTTTGGAATGTCTGAATTGAGGCCATTATCTTGACAGACCCTCCATCTTCATTCTTCAAGCTTTTCCTTTGCTCACGATTGCATTACCTCGGTTCACCACCAGGTTATTGTTAAGGTTATCTCATAGAAATGAGATGTCCCTACACAGAGCCCATTAAAAATATGGGTTGATGGGCCTCTTATCGCTAGATCACAGCACCGGACCAGACTGTACCGTCAGTTGAAGCGCGCGTTGAGGAAATGGACAGTGGCAGCAACACTCTCAAAAGCTTAACCAAACACTGCTAGGCCTTCAACTCTCTTCCGATAACCATTCGCTCTTCCATGGAAAAAGCTTCAACGAATCGTCTCTAACGAACCAAAGATGGAGGTTCTTCTTTTAATCTACGCTTCTTTTCCACCTCGTTATCGTTGTCGTTGGTGTGGTTGTTGGGATGGTATTTACTGAACCTCGAATCCAATCTAGTTATTACAAAATCTATCACCAATTCGATTATCTTTTATGGTGCTGGTTTACTTCCCAGGTAAACCCCCTTTTCTGGTACTTTTCCCTTAACCCAATTTGAGAATTTCAAAATTATTGGGAACAAATGTCTGAATTTTTTGCATTTTGATTGCTTTGATGGACATACTTGAAATTATGTCTCTTGGCCTTATCCCGTTGAATGCTAGGTGTTTACTTGATGTTTGCAATCGCTTTGCAGTAATGCGATTATTATATCTTGTTGGATTATCCGTTATCGTTTTCATGTTAAATTAACTTCCAAACTAACCGTGAGCTTGACTGTCTAAGCCCAAATTAAGAGCTGATCCAGTAGATCTCTTTACAGGCTGAACTGAATCACTTACAGCCACCTGTAAAATCTCCCCTCCCACAACATAATGAGTGACTACTGGACATTCAATGATATCTTTATTGCCATGCACGATTCTATTCCCATGCTGCGTTGGAACCAAGGAATGCCCCACATGATTAATTCCATCTTCGACTCCTATAATATTAGCCTAACGATTCAAATTCACCGGGGCCAACACCGGCCGGCGATTGCATCTCTAAATCCGGAGAAAGATTCAAAACAGAATTTTGACCATTTTGATCCTCATCTTCTAAAGCTACATCTTCCGGCCATACATCAGCCAACTTTTTCTTCAGTGTTGTCTCGAACTTCATAATTAGACGCTCGAAGATTAAAATCCAAAACCACCTTGATGACAAAGGAACGACCATTGGAGCGAATTGTAATTGACTTGGGTATATCAAACGGACTTGCTGCTCTAATAATTATTTTGGCTACTGAAAGATCCTCTTGACTCGATCTGGATTAGTTGGTCAATAGATCAGATACCATCGATTAATTCAAAAAAAAAAGCTATCCATGCCTATGAAAGATCCCCATTTATTACCCAATCGTGAGAAAAAAAAATTATATGCCAGCAATGCAATGGCACACCTAGGAGCATGATCGAGAAGAAGGATACTGGAATACAATCTTCATTTTTCAGCGGTGCAATGTGATCAAACCAGTATATTAGTGCCTCTCTCTTTACTCACATCGCCTCCTCTTTCTCCTCAACTGAGTCAAACATAATGATACATGAACTGGGATCATTGCCCCATTTAGCAATTTTGGCCTTGAATCCTTCACTTTGTAAAGCTTTCTGAACAAATTCAAGTTCAAAAAATTTCCTCATCATACTAGCCAAGGCATAATCAATCCACTCCATGCTTTTGGTCGGAATATTGAACTTTACTGTAGAAACAGAAGAGGTAGACCCAACACTCTTATCAACTCCCTCAACTCCCCCAGACATCGAAGATACTTGGTTTTCCAACAAACTTCTCTGCATGATCTATCATCTTTAATCCTTTATACTTTCCTCGAAGTCACTTAGTCAGCAAATGGATCCATATTTTTTCTATTCTCACCAAAGTTCTTCCGCGACTGCTGGAAACCCCTATCATTGCTTCTTATTACAGGCGGAAATCTTGCTTTAGCAACAGTGATTATTCTTCCATCAATCTTAGTGTTGTTCAGAATGTAAATCGCTTTCTCCAAATCTCTTGCTAAAGCAGATCGCACAAAAGCGAAGGTTGAATCTCTATATCTTGGTTGCCTGTTACATACCGGGATAAAACCTCTTGTAACCTTGCCATAGTGAGTGAATAATTCTCTAAGTGCACCTCTAGACACACGACGGCTAAGGTTATCAATGAAAGTCGTCCATTCTCCACCTTAATGGGACGATTTTCTAACTTCCGACGAAGCAGCATTTCCTCTCTCTCTCTCTCTCGTTCTCTCTCCATTTTTCCTTCGATTAACAATGTGACGTAACATGTTAAATTAATTAAAAAAAATCGCATTTGCCACTTTAATTATAATTATAAATTTATTTTACTATTAATTTTAATTCAAATAACTTTATTAATTTCATTAAATTAAAAACAAAAAATGTAAATAAAATAAATGTTATTTTTATTGCTATATTATAGTTATTGAATTTACATCATATAAATTATTTAATATGTTATTAAAAGTTAGTAACTATTTCAATTATTTATTTAAGTTTAGATGTATTTGATGAATTAATTTTTTTTATAAATTATATGTATTTTTTAAAATAATTTTTAAAATATTAAAAAATAAATTGTTATCATATATTTTATAAAAAAAAAACTTTCTATTTTTTAGAAGTATTGTTAAAAATATTAAAAATATATATAAAAATGATATTTTAGTTATAATTGATGGATCAAAGAAGATAATCTTTTTATTAATTTAGCATGTTATGTCACCCCTTACAACATTTAATGTTCAATATCCATTTTCTTTTAACAAAATCAAAAGTTTAATGTATAATTTGTAACTTTTAAAAATTCAATGAAAAATAAAGTTATTGTAACAAAATTTTAATAATTATTTATGAATTTTATCATATGAAAATATTAGTGGTGCATATTAATGTATGTTGTTAATAGTGCATATCGGTGTGTGTAATGCATTGTAGACTCATCCTAATTAGGGACGAGCATGGGTAGGGTTTGGGTCGGGTTTCGGCCAACCCGATCTGACCCCAAAATTTTACATCCTTCACCCAACCTGACCCGAAAAATATATACCCACTAATCGACCCGAACCGACCTAATTTTTTGAGATAAAATCCAAACCCAATCCGACCCAAAATAATAATAAAAATATTATTTTTGTTCAATAAAAATAGCGATTTAATTGAAAAAAATAATATATAAAGGGGTATTATTATAATTATTCCTAAATACATAAGGTAAATTATATTTTTTCTGGGTCAGGTCGGGTATTTTTTAACCTAAGCTCGAATCCGACCCGAACATCACCTTTAAAAACTGACCCGACCCAAACCCATTTTTTTTATAAAAAAAAACCAACCTAATCAGGTCGGGTCAAGTCGGAACCCATCGGGTTCAGGTCCCATGCCCATCCCTAATCCTAATATCTAGGATGAATATACAATAAGTGACATTCATTGAAATATACCCCTAATAACATATGCATTGGGATGCACCGCTAATATAAATTAAGCTAAAATTCATAATTTTTCACAATTTTTTAAAAAATTGATTTTATTTGTCATTGAATTTCTAAAAGTTACAAAATATACATTAAACTTTAGAATTTGTAAAAAAAAGGTAAATTCGTTAAATGCTATTAAGGGTGGCGTAACATACTAAATTAAAGAAAAATATCTCATTTGCCCATTTAGTTATAACTAAAATTTCATTTTAATATTTGTTCAACATTTTTAACAATATTTCTAAAAAAAATAGAATTTTTAAAATATATGAAAATAAATTATTTTAAAAAAAATCAATTATCAAACAATGAAATTATTTTTTATTAAGAGGAAATTATTTTATAAGTAATTATTTATTTAATTGTTGTTTTATTTGTAAAATTAAAAAAAAAAATTATAATTTTTGAAAAATCTCAATTATTAAACAATAAAATTATTTTTTATTAATGATATGATTTAAGCCTTTAACTTTGTTTAAAAAATTTAAATATGATTTAAAAATCATACACTCATAATATTATAATTCCATATCAATTTTTTATGGTATAAATTTAAAATTTATAATATGAAATTAAAAAAATAATATTTATTTTATTTATATTTATTTTATTCTTGATTTAACGAACTTAATAAAAATTATTTCAATTAAAATTAAGAGTAAAATGAAATTTTAATTATAATTAAATGATCAAATGAGATATATTTTTATTAATTTAGCATGTCATGTCATCTCTCTAATAACACTTAATGGTATTATGCATATTCTGTAACAAAATCTAAAGTTTAATGTTCATTATATAACTTTAAAAAATTTAATGTTCAAAAAGATAATTTTGACATAGTTTAATGACAAATTTGTATATTTTATCCAATCAAATTAATAATAAATTACTAGAATTTTCCTAATATCTAAACGTGGGAAAGAAAAATATCCAAAACTGTTCTTTTTTCCTTTCAAATTTGAACACATAGAAGCGCTGACGTGGTACTTTCTCTGCCTCTTCGAACCATGCAGTCAAAGGCCACGGGAATCGGGCCTATTTATTCGGCCCCAACTCCACTTAATTAAACCACGCGCCACGGCCAAATCATGGAAGGTTGAAACCATGAAAGGTTGAAGCTTGAACAAACAAAACGATATTCTCACGTGCCTTGACGATGTAAAAGCCAGTTGCAAACCTCCACGTGGGAGAAGGAAAGCAGCAGCGCGTCAATTATCAGACCATAATACCCATCTCAATCGAAAGCTCCAAAAGCATTGAATTCAATCGTTGCTCTCAAACCGCTAGGAAACGACACGTGGTACTCACGGAGACGACACCATCAGCGTAGATTAGATTTTTGGAGTTAAGAGAAGCCATTAAAATTCAGAATACGAACTGAGGAGTTCCCAGGGGAGAAAAAGAAACGAAAAGAAAACAAGAAGATGAGAGAGGTTTAAATTATTTCTCGTTTTTCTTTTCATCTTTACTTGATAATTAGTTTTCTGAATTTTTTGGTGGTCAATTTGGTTGCAGGGAATTATTTGAAACTTCCTCTCCTTTCCTATTTTTTTTCGCTTCTTTTCATTTCCCCGAAGTAGTCTTTCTCCCACCCTCACTCTCCTCTCAGACGAGAAGAAGGAATTTCAATTTTCAGTTGGTAGAAGAATTCATTTCATTAATAAAATTTCAACTCGGGGGTCGTAAAAGCGGTATGTCTCGATCAATCCTCCACCGTCTTATGTTTATTTTGATTCCTATTTGAGATCAAGAGAGATTTTCTTTCCTTTTTTCCTGGAATATTTTTTCTTCTACAATTGAACTGTCAATGCCTGTGAACCACGTGATATTATAATTGTCGTCCATATTCAAGAACAAATTAGCGAATTATGCCGCCAATACCATTGAAGGTGGAGTATCCCTACTTCCTCTAAAATTACTTAACTTATTACTTAATTAGCCCTTTTTTTTGTTATTGTTGAAAAAACAGGGCTGTTGAAGCTGCAAAAGGATGTCAGGTCGTGTGAATACCGGGATGTGCAAGTAATGTGGGAGATGCTGAGAAGAACCGAGCTTGAAATGGGAGAATCCCCAAAAGATGCAAAAAGCGACCATTGAAAAAATGGTTTTAATTTTCAATGGACTAGGAGATCTCCTTTTCCTCGCCGCGGCTTCTGACCACGGGCTTTTTCATTCCGGGTTTCATTTTTCTTCTCTTTTTTCCATCCTATGCACATATTTATATGTATCTCCCTGGTAGAAAGGTTTTATGTCTCGTAAGGATCCAAACCACAATATAACTGAGAGGGATTGGGAGGGATTGATTTTATGGGATTGCTCCCCTTCCTTTTTTATTTTTTATATCAAACCATTTGTATATATCAGCAGCTTACCAGGTGAATGTCAACTACTAAATCTCCGTGTTCTATCTCCTACTCTGTAATAAATATTCGGTATATGTGTTGATAATCTAAATCAAGGTTTTGGTATTTGGTTGAAGATGAATCTTCCTGGCCTTATTTGCTTATTAACCTCACTACATCTATCTTGACTTTGCTAAGATTATGAAGATGCAACAAGAGATTATGAAGCTAGCTTGGACTACTTTTACTTACATTATTTGGGAGGAGAGAAACAAGAGAATTTACCAAGGACGCTCAAGAAATGTTAATGCCTTACTCCTTGCTATTAAAGACTCTGTTGCTATTCAACTTAAGGGTAGAGAAATAAATAGAAATGACTATGTCAGTAATACTCTTTGTAATCAATAGGGTATTGAACATTGATGTTTCTGTTCTGTTGTATAGTGTTGTAAGTATTGATATTTTTATGTAAGAACTTTTTATATTTTGAAGCAGTTTACTGCTTTTGGATATAAAACTGATTGATTTATCCAAAAAAAAAAAGATTATGAAGATGCTGAGCCACAATAGAAAGCATTTGATCAACCAAGTTTTTCACCTATAGCTCATTGAAAGAGAGAACTTCTTGCTCCCACCAAGTATATTAATGCATTCAGAACTGATCTATCATTTATCTTCTTATTCCCCATAGATCCAGTACCTGATGCCGAAGGCTTCTGGAGAAATTGCAGGAGACAAAGAGATGGTGCCATGTCTCTTTTTACGGTTTGCATAACGGAGTCCGCTATATCCCATGAAGTCGGTCTATCTCTGGAGGAGAGCCTCAATCAGGATATGAAAGAAAACCTTGGTGTATTTAACTTGGACCAAGATTATCCGTGTGCCTTGCCACTTTCACCCCTGTGCACATATAACACCATTAGTTTACGTAATCAGGCATTCAGTAGATTTTGAGTTCAAGCTTTACTGGTCTTGATAGTCTAGTAGCTAGACGGGTCAAATCTCTCGGGACCAAGACACACTTTACTACCATTGATCCTACTATCTTGGCGAATCTTTACTTCACTTCAACCTTATATTCAAATAAGGAAAGGAACAGTGTAAATTATATTAATCAGGGTTCTAGGTTTTGAGATCATTGTTTTGGAGTAATTCAAGCATATTTATCCTTCATATGTCGGTTGATATTTTGTCTAAAGATGATCCTGCGTACAAGTGTAGTTAGCAAATGGTGACAGCCGACCGCCATGATAAGTTTGAGCTTTTAATTATAACTTACAATACCACCTCTCAGTAATTAGTTAATTACTCGTGGTTTTATTTATATCAAACCAAGATCATATCTTTTCACGCTCATCACCATCTTCCACAATCCACCGAGTGACGTAAAGGGTTGTTTTAAAATGGGCCGCCACTATTCTTCCCTCTCCTGAGCTTTAATGGTGCCATTTAATGGAGTGACGAGGAATCGGACTCCGTGCCTCTCGAATGCGAAGCGAGCACTAGATCATATGAGCTACAACCCCTTTGCAAATCTGTTTTCTTCCCTTATTTTCATTATGATCGTTGTGAATCCATGTCTGAGAAAGCAAACCAACGGTGGGGCTTGTAACAGCAAAAACAAAGTGCATTGGCAGTTGGTACAAAATTAATGCTAAAGGGTATCGGAGTTAAGAACGTGGCTGACGGCTCGCTTTCCCAGCCCATATTTTTTTGTTGCAGCATTGAAGCCTTCATTCATTTTCTCTCAATGACACTGTTCCTCTCCCTGCAAAAACAATAGTAATTAATCCCTTCTCTGCATCCCTACAGCCATGAGAGACCAGACAATGAAACCACATGCTTTCTTTTATTATTCACATACCCATTTCAAGCATTTATATATTATATTTTTTTATATCTTACACTACATGTTCACAGCCCTCAAAGGCATGGCATGGGCCGCTCTTAGGTACTGGACAATAATCACTAGCCAGTAGCCACCCACTTCACCTCCTTATCTCCACGGGTTTTCTGGTCGACTTTCTAGTTTCTCAAATCTGGGGTGACGAAAGCTTGTTCTTTCATTTGTTGTTCTTTAAATTATATTTTTGGTAGCTGGAAAAGAGAGATCCATCATCCATGCGCTGACTTGTGTTGCTGCATATAAAGGGTGTAATTGGAGAAATCAACTCTTTGTTCGGAGGAGAGGTCATCATCTGCCATTATGAAGTTCCCTGGGATTTGGGTTTTTTCCTTTGTGGTTGGGGCAGCGTTGGTTTCTTTTACCTTCTCCAGCAGCTCCTCCATTCCTGGTAAATGTTGTAACTATTGTGAAATTTAGGTTAATTTCTACCAATAATAACAAATTCACCTTGAAAACTATTATCTATGTTACTAGTGTAAAAATGATTGTACTAAAAATTACCTCAAGGTAGATTCTCAGGAAAGAGGAGGGGTCACAATGGTCTCTCTTAAAACTCACTTTCCTTAGACAGAACTACCAAGACAAGTAATTTTAATAGGACAATAATTAACAACAACTATACCCGACAATAACTATTAAATAGACATAAAGAGAACACCAAAATTTAACGAGGTTAGGCCAAAATTATGCCTACCTCCTCGATCACTACTAAAATAATATTTTACTAGTAGAGGAAATATTACAAAGAGAGAAAGAGTACAAATATCATTTAATAGTGAAGAAGGCTTATATTTGTGGGATGCTAAACTAACGAGGAGGAGGGCTCTATTTATAACAAAAGAATTTATACTCCTCCTTATACAAAACCAATGTGAGATATTTGCCAAAAACCAACAAATCTTCACCTTGGCAAATTCCACACACGTCTCTTAAAAAATCCAATCTTCAGTAGTGTCTGCAAATTCATATTTCAATTTGTAACAATATTGACCAAGTCTAAACAATGTTTAAACTTGACCGCAGTTACCACTTTTGTCAACATATCAGCAGGATTCTCAGTGGTCCGAATCTTCTGGATTATGTCTCCACCGTCTTTTAGAATCTCTCGTACAAAGTGATATCGAATATCGATTTGCTTCGTCCTTGCATGATAAACTTGGTTCTTTGCTAAATGAATAGCACTCTGACTGTCACAGTGCACTTTGATGTGTTTTTGTTCCATTTCCAATTCACCAAGCAACCCTTGAAGCCAAATTGCCTCCTTCACAGCCTCTGTAACTACCATATACTCTGCCTCTATAGTAGACAAAGCCACTGTTGACTGTAAGGTGGACTTCCAACTGACTGGTGCTTTTGTAAATATAAACACATAACCAGTAGTTGATCGACGCTTGTCCAAATCACCTGCATAGTTTGAATCACAATACCCAACTACACACTGACCATCTTGTTTGTCATGCTGAAAGACCAAACCAACACCTACGGTGTTCAGAATATACCGCATAATCCATTTCACAGCTTGCCAATGCTCATTTCCAGGATCATGCATATACCTACTCACAACCCCAACTGCCTGTGAAATATCAGGTCTCGTACACACCATTGCATACATCAAGCTACCAACATCTCTTGCATACGGAGCATTTGACATGTATTCTCGTTCTGCATCATCCTTAGGTGACATGGATGCACCGAGCTTGAAATGAGGAGCAAGATGTGTACTAACTGGTTTTGACTTCTCATTCATGCCAAAACGTTTTAGTATCTTCCTCAGATATTCTTTCTGAGACAAACAAAGCCTCCCCAATTTCTTATCCCTTGATATCTCCATGCCTAGAATCTTCTTCACTTCACCAAGATCCTTCATCTCAAACTCCCTGTTCAATTGAGTCTTTAGTTTCGCAATTTCTGTCTGACTCCTAGAAGCTATTAGCATATCATCAACATAAAGAAGAAGATATATATAGGATCCATCTTGTAGCTTGCGTAAATACACACAATGATCATATTTGCTTCTTGTGTACTTCTGCCTTATCATAAACTTGTCAAATCGCTTGTACCACTGCCTTGGAGATTGCTTCAATCCGTACAACGATTTTTCTAATTTGCACACCATCTCTTCTTTTTCAGCAACTTTGAATCCATCTGGCTGAGTCATGTAGATTTCCTCATCCAAGTCTCCATGTAAAAATGCAATTTTTACATCCATCTGAACTAGTTCCAAATCCAACTGTGCTACCAAAGCCAACAAAATTATGATGGAGGAATGTTTTACAACTGGAGAAAATACTTCATTATAATCAACTCCCTCCGTTTGAGCGTAGCCTTTAGCCACCAATCTTGCTTTTTAGAGGATGTTATTCTTGTCAGGAAATCTATCTTTCTTTGCATATACTCACTTGCACCCAATTGCCTTCTTTCCCTTCGGAAGACTAGCTAGTTTTCAAGTCTGATTCTTTTGAAGGGATTGCATTTCTTCATTCATGGCGATCCTCCACTTTTTATGTTCTAAACTTTGGACTGCTTCATTAAAAGTGGCAGGAACGTCATCAATTGCAATTGGAGATGCAAAAGAGACCATATCAGCATAACGAGCAGGTTGTCTAATGGTCATCTTTCCCTTTCTGAGTGCAATTGATTCATGTTGTTGTGGAGGTTCTTGGATCTGAACCTCTTCTTCATCTGACTCTTCTTCTACCATAGGAGAGTCATTATCAGTTTCTTTACTGGCTGGGTCAATTCTGCTTCTTTCAAACTCCACCTGTTTGGGAGTTCCATATATCTGCTCCAATTTTTTTAAAGTCACCTTTCTCAACATGGTAGATTCATCAAAGGTAACATCCCTGCTGAAGATTATTTTCTTTGTTTCTGGACACCAAAGACGATAGCCTTTCACACCAGAGGTGATCCCCATAAAGATCTCCTTCTTTGCTATTGGATCCAACTTTGACTTCTTAACATGATAGTATGCAGTGGAACCAAACACATGTAAGGAATCATAATCTGTAGCAGGTACTCCAAACTATTTCTCTAATGGTGTTTTACCACCAATAGCAGTCGATGGTAAACGGTTGACAAGGTGACAAGCATAAACCAAAGCCTCAGCCCAAAATTCTTTGCCTAACCCAGCATTAGACAACATACACCGAACCTTCTCCACTAATGTTCGGTTCATACGCTCTACCACCCCATTCTGTTGTGGTGTGCTTCTGACAGTGAAATGCCTGACAATACATTCTTCTTCACAGACTTTCAGAAATGGATCATTTTTGTACTCTCCACCATTCTCTGTACGGAGACGTTTGATTTTTTGCATGTTTGAGTCTCCACCATCTTTTTCCATTTAAGGAAAAATCCTAGCACCTCATCCTTTGTCTTCATTGTATACACCCAAACTCTCCGGGAAAAATCATCAACAAAGGTTACATAATAGTGTGTTCCTCCCAATGAAGTTGTCTTGGAAGGCCCCCATATATCTGAATGAACATAATCCAAAATACCTTTAGTATCATGGATTGCTGTTCCAAATTTCACCCTCGTCTTCTTCCCTTTGATGCAATGCTCACAAAAAGCTAATTTGCAAGCCCGAGCACCCTTCAATAATCCTTGATCTATCAGTAATTTCAACGATTTTTCACCAATATGCCCCAAGCGCATATGCCATAACCTGGTTGCTTCTGACTCCTGTTCATCAGTAGAAGCTGCCACTGTTGTTGTCCCAACAATTGTACTACCAAGAAAGTAATACACATTGTTTCTTTTCCGGATTCCCTTCATTATCACCAGTGCACCAGAGATAATCCTCATAATCTCATCTTTTGCCCTTACTTCTAAACCTTTTGACTCTAAGGTTCCCACAGAGATGAGATTTCTCATTAAATCTGGTACATAATGGACACCTGTTAAGGTGTCCTGTGTAGACAATTCCACCTTTTAGTTCTTTAAAATCAAAGAACCATTCTCTATTGGGGGTCATATGGTGGCTACAAGCTGAATCTAACAGCCATGAACTGGAACAACTGGTTGATGGCGTAGCAGCGAATGCAAAATTTGAATCTGTATCATCATACTCGACCACATTTGATTCTGAGACAGCCTTTCCCCTTTTAGGTTTGCCTTTGTTCTTTAGCCTGTGACATTCTTTCTTCCAGTGCCCTTTTTCTCGACAAAATGTACATTCTTTTTTACTTAATCTGAACTTTGACTTCGATCTCCCTCTTCTTCCTTTATTCTGACTCTTTGAACGGCCTCTAACAACAAGAGCTTCTGCTTCGACACTTGTGTTTTCTTGTTTGCCTTTCTTTCTCAATTCATAACTATATAAGGCATCAATTACTTCACTGAGAGACACATCAACTTTCCCATGAATTAAAGTAGTTTCAAGATACTCAAACTCATCAGAAAGTGATCCCATCAACATCAGAGCCAGATCTTCGTCTTCAAAAGTCACGTCCATATTCATTAGATCAGTCACCAGCTGATTAAAGCTAGTAATGTGATCATTCATAGTGGTACCTGATACATAGTTGAAGCGGAACAATCTCTTTTTCATGTAAAGCTTGTTCTGACCGTTTTTCTTCAAAAATTTCTCCTCCAGTGCCTTCCACAATTTACTTGCAGAAGTTTCCTTAGAAAATGCATACTTCTGCGCTCTAGAAAGATACAATCGAATAATACCACATGTCAATCTATTGATCCTCTTCCATTCTTTCTCATCAACATCATCTGGTTTCTCTCTTTCAATAGCAATGTCTAGACCCTGCTGAAATAGGGCATCTAGAACCTCACTTTGTCACATGCCGAAATGACCGATGCCATCAAAAATCTCCACTACAAATCTAACATTTGTCACAGTTGTTGACGACGATGTGGATGTTTTTGTTACGTCTGCCATTTCTGCTACAAATTCTATTTAATAGCTGTCAATGCAGAATGCCAATTATCCCAAGGAAATTTTTTTCTAATGTGGAAGATCAGCCTAAGCCGCAACCACAGAGCATACTAAAATAAACCAAGAGCTCTAATATCAATTGTTGTGAAATTCAGGTTAATTTCCACCAATAATAACAAATTCACCTTGAGAACTATTATCTAGGTTACTAGTGTGAAAACGATTGTATTAAAAATCACCCCAAGGTAGATTCCCAGGAAAGAGGAGTGGTCACAATGGTCTCTCTTAAAACCCACTTTCTTTAAACAGAACTACCAAGACAAGTAATTTTAATAGGACAATAATTAACAACAACTATACCCGACAATAGCTATTAAATAGACATAAAGAGAACACCAAAATTTAACGAGGTTAGGCCAAAATTATGCCTACCTCCTCGAACACTACTAAAATAATTTTTCACTAGTAGAGAAAATATTACAAAGAGAGAAAGAGTACAAATAGCCTTTAATAGTAAAGAAGACTTATATTTGTGGGATGCTAAACTAAGGAGGATGAGAGCTCTATTTATAACAAAAGAATTTCCCTTCCTCTCGTACAAAACCAATGTGAGATATTTGCCAAAAAACCAACAGTAACTCCTCTTCTATTTTTCTTCGAGTAAACGGTCTACATAATTGCTGCACTGGGAGCTGGTGTGAGTATTATAGCAAAATGTGTGGTTTCTTAACAACTTAACCTTCTCATATTAGTTACCGATGAAGAACACTAATTTGCATGAAAACTGAAAAGTCACTTAAACCGTGTTTCTTTTCTAATATTATCAAAATACACCCGACTTTCATTTGTATCGTATGTAGCTTATTATTATTATTATTATTGAGTTTAGTTCATAAACAATGAATTAAACTTTAGCATAAATTACACTAAATTCCATTGAACTCTAAGTAGTATATTGTTTTTACAATTGAATTTTTAATTATTCCAATTATAATATTAAACTTTGGTTATTCAATTAGACTGTTAAAATCCAAACGACATGACAACATGAAAAAAATAATGTTTTGTACACGTTGTCACATTGACGGAAAAATATGTCCACATCACCGTGTTATTAAAATTTAACAGCCTAGTGATATAATTAAAATCAAAATCAAAATTTAATGTTATGATTAATTTGAACATTTGAAACTTCAATATAAATGGTACACTGCCTATAATTTAGTGATATTTAAATAATTAAATGACCTCACCGCATCCTGTTTCTTGTTATACAAGTTTTGCGTCAATTGTCTTAAATTCGTTAATCTCAAGTTGTCTTTAACCCTCACTCTCGTCTATTACAGATATCGTGTTTTCATTCTTTGGGTTATTGCCTTGCTGGCTATAGGGTAAAGCAATTATCTATTGGTCTATTTCAATGATATTTATAACTAATTGATCCACTTGTAGGCTATTCTTGTCCCATATCTAAATCATGCCAATTAAATGATGTAGCTAAAAACCCATGGGTTTGACCCGATGGCCGAGGGCAATACATTTCAAAACAATGGCTCGGGTTTAAGTGTGGGTGCGTGCGTTCAAAAAATGTAGCTTAAAATTGCAGCTTTGCATGTCAATGACAATTCATGCTATTCAAGCAATGCTTTCACTAACTTGATGATCAGAATTTATCCTCTTTTTTTCTTAGCCAGAGATCAAATGTTTCTTGCTAAAGTTAATGCTTTCTGTTGGTAAATCTGGGGAAAAAATAGCAGCAACCAAAGACATATCACTATAAGAAATAATAATAATTACATTTAAGAAGATTCATAAATGTCATCCCAGGTATGGAGTTTTTGCAACATGGCGATGGTACGAGGGCGATGGGAACAAGTAGGAAGCTGAAGGTATATACACTACATGCATGGCCACAACCTGCTAAGAGAACCTTTTTGTTTTGTTTTAGAATTTTGAGACGTTTTCTCATCTAAAATTGCAGGGGATTGGCAATGAAAATCAGAGCAATGTGGATATGGAAGATTACCATCCCATTGATCCAGTTCCAAGCTCAAAGGCATCTATAAAACCTGGTCCTATTGAGCATGGTAGTCCTCTTATTCCATATATCCCCAAACCCTCACCTCCTGACAATCCCAATAGTGGTGGTTCCACTTAAAGTCATTACTATCATCTGATAATCTGTATCGTCTCGTATTTTAACCATCTTTGTTTCCGAATCTTGTACACTCGATTAACTTATAGTTGCCTATGTGTATGCAGCTTAAGTTTGTGTATGAATTTGTCATTTCCATTTTAATGAATTAACTAGCATATCTATTATCATCGCAGCTGCTTTGTCAATGAATATTTGATGAAAATAAGAATTGTCCGACGTACTGGGGTTGAGCTACCAGGCAACTCTCAGAAAACAAGCAAAGAACATGGACAGGAAACAATCATGGTGGACCTGCTTAACCAAAGTCTAAGGCTAATATAAAAAGAGAGGGTGACCAAATCAACAACCCTCAGAAAGCTAAGGAAACTGGAATTGTTTATATCACTAACCGGCTAATATAAAAAGTGACTGCATTCACTTACTCCCTTTCTTTTTGGTAGGAAGATGTCAGATTTCTGACCAAATAAATTAAACTCTACCCACATGCTATCTTAGTCGATCATTTTCAAAACTGGCTACTCAATTCATGTTCATAGACTTCTCATCCAGCTCGTTTACTGCAAAAGAAAACTGTTTTTGCTTAGCCGGTGTACCTCTAGTAAATGGGGGTGCTGGAGGAACTGTTAATCTCTCTTTTTTGGAGTGCTTAACCATGGAGAGCAAACCAGTGGGGACAACTTTGATACCAATGATTGAAGGTTTGTTTTTCATGTGTTCAAAAAGGAACGTCTATTTCTTCCGTGGGAAACAAATGTTTTTCGCGTCTGCTGCAAGCAATAGCTTCATTTAAGCAAAAGTGTGATGTCATATGGTAACAACAGACATAGTGATAAGTTAAACAGATAACTTCTATATGTATGAAATTGGGATTTCATGTTGAAACTGTAATCATTGGAATTCAGCTTTTGGTTTAATAACCTGTTCTTTTCTCTCTCTTATCTTTGTAGGGTTACTTAATGCATGCAGGATTCAGAATTCAGCTTTTTGATATCTTTGAATCTTATTGATAATTTTATCACTGCCCAGATGACAGGCCTACCAATCTACCGCAAAAGCTTTAAACTCCCAACCATGAAAAGCCTGAGACATATGCAGAAGATGGAATAAATTTGTCGGGAAACATTAGAGAATTAACACAAGATGTTGATTGATTAAACATGGTTAAAAAACCTTTTTGTAGATAAGAATTGGAATAATATGGAAGATTTCATTCTTTGTTGACAGTAACAATACAAAAGAGATGTGTAGGATAAGGAGTGCAAGAGAAGGGAAATTGCTTTTTCTGGGGATGGTCCTTTGATGGACTTTAATGGAAGCTTGTGGTGGTGAGTAGAAATATTGTGATTATGATTTTGTAGCATTTTGGGAATTTTAGGTCGTCTTCTTTTCTCTTTGTGTAGTTCGTCGAATCAAATTTGTTCATGACAGATTCTTTGAGTGATGCATTGAACAAAACTTTAGGACCACACAAAGGAAAAAAGAAGAAGAAAGAACTGGGTTCACCACTTAAATGCCTTTTGAGCCCGATTTAATACACAAACCATCAAGTTTCTACGTACTAAAATGCGACAACAAAGACAAATGATTAAGCAACACATGCATGGCTGCACACGTGTACCCCTAATTAAATTGTTAATAAAATAAATGACTATGATTCCCAGTACCATATATGTGTTAGAAGCTTGATGGTTAAAAGCAATGATTTCTCACTAATGTTAATGATCATTTTTAGGCAACGTAGGGGATATATACAAAGAGTATATCATAATTAGGTATGCCCATTATCCACATGTTAACCAAAGTTTACTTTTTTTAGCAAATGATAGCCTCTAATTTAAGAGACTTTGGAATTAAGGTAATTTTACATATTAATCAAACCCTGGAAATGATCTCTTAATCTTAAAATAAATATATTTACATAAATTAAAAGATAATTTAAAATTATATTATTAAATAAATGATAATTTTTTTATTTTTAAAAATTAATGAACCTACTGAGTGACATCAGTCAGGGACGGAGTTAAGATTGAACTATGAGGAAACAAATTGTTTAGTTTTAAAATAAATAGAGTTTACAAAGTAATTAAACCATAAAAATTAAGAGATTAAGGATTTAATTTCATTAATTTTAAAATTTTAAAATCTTAAAAAGTAACTAATTAGACAAATTTGGGGCCAATTTTTAATTCAATTAATTTTAAAATTGATATTTTCCTAAAAAACAATTATACCAAAATTTTTTGGAAGGATCAATGGCTTAATTGTAATTGTTTCAAAACTATCCGTGACTTAAAAAGTAATTATATCATCAAAGTTGGCTCGTTAATAAAATATAATATTGTGATCATTCTAAATTATTAAAAAAATAATAATCAAATTAATAAAAACAATAAAATGATTAAAAATATTTTATATTTTACAATTAATAGATCAATAATTTATTATATAAATTAATAATAAAAAAGTTATATAAAAATAATAAAATTATTTAACAAAAATAAAATATACAATTTTAAAATAATATATAAATCTAACTTATTTTTAATTCACTTGTAACGTACAACAGTGATTTTGCAACTATAAAAAATTATATATTTTTAATAGAAAAAAACTACATATTTTTATGTTTTAAAGAAAAGTTCTGCAATAATAATAATTCAACGTCCCCTTAAAAGAATTTAAATTCGAGAGTAACGTCTCTATGAATTTTTCACAGTTCTCTCCTCAACACTCCTCATTTCTTTCACTTTCTCCTAAAATTATCCCCACTACTACTCGCCTCCACGTGTCATTATTTTCTAATATCATCATCATCTACACACCTTGCCACTCCTCTACGCGAGTATCGGTCCCCTCCCTGTCTCGCGAGTACACTCCTCTCCCTTCAAATTTGAAAAGCGATGTAAAGAAAAAAAGAAGAGTACAACGTTATGAACTCAAATTTCGCCTAGATTGCTCACACCATTCTCACTATCTCGCTTCTACTCTCACGCTCTTGTTAGTAGCTAACGGTCGTTTAGTGTTTCTGCTCCTTTTGTTTTCCCTTTCCGAAAATTCCACCTACACCCCAACGCAACGAAAATTTGTTAAAACGTGATTTCTTTTTAATCAACTTTAAACTCTGATTTCCTTGTTGTTTTGGACGTGAGATTTTCAGGAGGGTTTATAGGGTTTTGGAGTGAGTAAATTTATGAATCACTGACATTGTGGAGATTCAATTTTGTGAGTACGGAAATGGTAGCTACAATGTCCGCAGCAGTAAACCCCAAACAGCGCGGCGGAGGGCCACAGCCATACGGCCAACACCATAACCCATCACGGCCTCCTTTATTGCCGTCCGACCCTGACAATGCTATTCCTCTCCGCCGTCAGAAGTTCCGTGAAGTCACTTCTCGTTATTTGTCCACGCCGTCATCCTCAAATTCCTCAATGTCATCGTCTTCTTCTTCAGCGGCTTCTACCAAGCGGTGTCCGTCGCCGTTTGTTTCGAAGTCAACGACTCCATCGGATATCAAGCGGTCGCAATCGGTGGAGCGGAGGCAGGCTGTGACGCCGCGGCCTAACAATTCTGTGAATTTGAGAAACAGTGACGGTAACAAAAGCGGCGAATTATCCGCTGCTCAGAAGTTACTCTTGACTTCGACGGGAAGCTTATCTGTTTCGTTTCAGGGAGATTCATTCTCCTATCAGTTTACCAAAGCTAAACCAGTTCCATCTCCAAGCGCGGCAAGGAAAGGCACTACGGAGAAGAGAAAGCCAACGGCAATCACACCGACACCGGCTAGAGGAATAGATCAGACGGGGAATTCAAACTCGGAGCGGTTGCCGGCAGGCTTTAGGAAATCGAATTCAATGAGTCGAAGCGTCGATTGCACGGACGAGAAGAAGAAGTTAAACGGATCTGTTAACGGCAATGTAGTTAGGGCACTACAAAATTCCATTATTGACAGTAGGGATTCAACAGGTATTACAGCCGTTGGATCCGATGCTCAATTTGATCGTGCGGCTTCGGATACCGAAAGTGTTTCTTCTGGTAGTGCAGGAGCTCCTGAAAGTTCTTCTAACGGCTATGGAGATGTTAAGCGTGGGCCTCGGGGGATAATAGTTCCCGCCCGGTTTTTGCAAGAGACAAATAGTCGGTTACGCCGGGCCGGTCCCGTCTCGCCGGTTTCTAAGAAAATTACTGCTCACTCTAAGATACCTGCATCAGACAAGTTCGGTATTGATAGTCCTTTGTCGTCTCCGAAAGGTGTAGTGAACAGCAGAGGACAGTTATCTCCGATTCGTGGATCAGTTCCGCCTGCTTCGCCGAGTAAGCTTGGGGTGTCTTCTCCTTTGCGGGGAATGAGCCCCTCTAGAGTGCGGAGTGGATCGGCTAGTAATTTGGTAAATACTCCTTCAATTTTTAGCTTTGCTGGTGATGTTCTTAAGATGGGCAAGATTGGGGAAAATAAGGCTTCGGATGCTCATTTGTTGAGGCTACTTCATAATAGGCTGTTGCAATGGCGTTTTGCCAATGCTAGAGCATATGCTGCTGTGTCTTCCCAGACGACTAATGCAGAGGTATGGCTGAATTGCTCCCATATTGCATTTTACTATTATATTTGCCAGTTTTGCATTATATATTGTTACATCATTGCACTAGGAATTCGCCCTTAAAATTTAGATTCTATGATATTAACAGACAGTTTTATTGGCAAAATTGGAACTCCCAATGTCGCTTTCTGCTTGAGAAGGCTTGGCACTCCAGCTTTTTGGTTATTCTGTTGATTGGATATAATTGCTATTATGTGGTAGATGTAGTTTTGTTATTGCTTTCAAGCAGCTCGTGATAGTTATTATGGGTTTAAAACGATTCTGATTAAGCTGAGATTTTGGTGAAGGGCTGGAATATTCATATGTAAACAGCTTTTCCATTATAAATTCTCCCAAGTTTTTCGTCCCCTGTAAACAGCTTTTCCCTTGCAAATTCTTCAGCTGTTTAAAAAGGTATCTTTATGCAATTCTATAATAAGGTAAATTGGATGACGATACTAGAATGAAAAGAGGGAACTTAAACTGCATGCCTACTCTGCATATCAATGGCACCTGAGACGCTGAATTCAATAGATTGTGATTTCAAATTAAGAATGGAAGTTAAAAAAGCCAAATGTCTGAGGAGAGACTGGCTTAATGCAATTCTTTAATAAGGGAAAATGGATGAATATACTAGAATGAAAAGAGAGAACTTAAACTGCATGCCTACTCTGCATATCAGGGGCACCTGAGAGACATTCAGTTCAGTAGATTGTGATTTCAAATTAAGAATGGAAGTTAAAAGGGCCAAATGTCTGTGAGGAGAGACTGGCGTATCAGTTGCTGATCTTCTTGCTTTAAGGAATGAGTCAGGGGGCGTTCATTATATATGGAAAGGGCCAAATGTCTGAGAGAAGAGACTGGCTAAATGCAGTTCTTTAATAAGGGAAAATGGATGACGATATTAGAATGAAAAAAGGGAACTTAAACTGCATGCCTACTCTGCATATCAAGGGCACCTGAGAGACACTGAGTTCAGTAGAATGTGATTTCAAATTAAGAATGGAAGTTAAAAGGGCCAAATGTCTGAGAGAAGAGACTGGCTTATTAGTTGCTGATCTTCTTGCACTAAGGAATGAGTCAGACGCGTTCATTATATTTGGAACAATCTGATCAAATTAGAGGCAAGCAGAGTTTTCATACAATGTGCCATAGAAATAGCGATGGTTGAAAGATTTTAATCTGACAAAGGAGAAACAGGGGGAAATAATAGTTGCATTCACTATATCTGGAACAATCAGATCAAATTAAAGGCAAGCAGAGTTTCCAGACTCTATGTGCCATAGAAATAGAAATGGTTGAATGAATTTATTGAGAAAGAAGAAGCAGGGGAAATAAAAGAGTTAGCTTCAGATTTTTTATTTTTCAATAGTTGATGCGATTAACATTTGTTTTAATTATTGTTTGCATTGTGTTTTTAAGGACCTTGGTTTTAACTATCTTATTGTTTCCGAGGTTGCTTACATTAGTTAAAATCTGATGAGAAATCCTTTTGTTTTCATGTTTTATTGCAACAGAAAAATCTCTATAGCGCATGGATAACTACCTCAAAACTTCGAGAATCTGTTAGAGCCAAAAGAACCAAGTTACAGTTGCTTAAGCAAAAATTGAAGCTGATTTCCATCCTCAAGGGGCAAGTAAGAACCATGTCTCCATTGTGAAATTTTACTCATTTTAAACTTGATATATCCTAGTTTCTCATTCTCTACCTCTTCCGTTACTATTCAAACTGCATATCTCTCGTCCTGCTATACCTCTTGCCATCTCTCTTCCCCCTTCCCATTTCCTCCCATCCTTTTATCTTACTTTCAAGTTGCTCCTTATCTGAAAAAACCTTTTACATAATCGTGTCAACTATAATTGCATGTTTCAGTTCATGTATTTACTCTCTTCGTTATGGATGAGTTCAGATGATGCTTTTGGATGAATGGGATGTCCTGGACCATGATTATTGCAGTTCATTGTCTGCGGCTAGTGAAGCTTTGATGGCTAGCACGCTCCGCCTTCCGGTTGTTGCTGGAGCAAGGGTAATTTCCATCTTGGGAATTTGTCAATTTCGTTCAAGCTGTGGTATTTCATGTATTAGCATTTTTGGTCTTAAAGAAACATCTTGGTTGGCTATTCATTTGTACAGGCTGATGTCCCAAATTTGAAGGATGCTATATGTTCAGCGGTTGACGTAATGCAGGGAATTTCATCCTCCATATGCTCATTGTTCTCCAAGGTAATTCTCTCTGTTTCTCTCATCCTTAGCCTCTGTTTCCTCTTTCACCCTTCCCACTTTCATTTTTATATTCAAATTTGAATTTTTCCATTGTTCCCTCGTTTATATGCAGAGTGCAAACTTTATAATTTCCTAACGTCCTGATACACTGTTCGTACTCTACGTATAATGTTTTCTTATTTGATCAAGGCAACCTGAAATTAATTTGTATGGTTAGAAATGCATGTACCCATGTGTCAAGAAGTTTTCATGTTCCAAAATGTGAAAGATTGATCATTTTATAAGCGTAAGCGCCTTAGAGCTTGCATAAGTTACGACTGTAGCATCTCTGAAATTCTTTACAGTCCTCAAAGGGTGATCAGATTGATTAGATGTTTTAGTTTTAGAGGTTTGTTTTTTCAACAGTTCTGCAAGTATTAAAAATGACACAGGTTGATCAGTTATGCTTCTTGCTTTGGGTTAAGGATAAAAATGGAACCTACCGTTTAATTTTGGATAACAACGATAAACTATAAGCTTCACTTTAATGACAATGGATATTCCCTTTGTTTTTTTTAAACCAATTTTAGTTTGTCATTTGTCTATTTCGTTTGTCTTCCTTAATTTATTTATTGGTTGATAGGTTGCTGAAGTCAACTCCTTGGTGGGAGAACTTGGAAATGTAAGTGGAAATGAGATTGCTTTACTTGAGCACTGCCAAGTACTTGTATCAACAATTGCAGCCGTGCAGGTGAAAGAATGTAGCCTCAGAACACACATTTTACAACTAAATCAATTACCTTCCTGCATGACAACGAAATTGTAAAGCTCATGTGATTTTCATTGCCTTCCTCTATTAACTAACATAGCATCATCCGCCATTCCCCCCTCATCCGAATTTTGGCTTAAATATAAGAAGGCTGCTCTTGAAATACAATCAAATAATCATCTAAGCCCTTGTTGTTCTATCAAAAGCAATTGTGCCTCAAAAGATCTATTTTCACCCAATTAAACCCTTTTTTGAACATTAATTTGTGAGTGTCTTTAAAGGATGAAAGTGCTTGGATGATTTACAGATTTTTGTGTCGGGGCTCTTTTCAAAATGGTCAATACGATTTTACAACATTGAGAGCGATAATTTGGTCATTTGTTTAAGCTACATAAAATCTAGCTGTGTAATTGATGTTGTGTAGGCTGGGGGAATCATTCTCAATGTGAATTTAGATAGTTTTTACAGCAACATATATATATATATATTATTTGGGCAAAAGGAAAGTGTGTATTTAATGTGTAAATGGTGGTTCCAGTTGTTTTAATCCAAGGTTCTTGTGTTCCTATCTATGTTCGCCTCAATATACTGAATTTGCTTTAATATAGAGTGAAAACTAAATACACTTTCAACCTCACTTCATGGTTTTCTTTTGGTAGATAAAGGATTAAAAAAACATAATAATAATACTTGAAGGACTTTCTTTCCCACGTGTCTTGTTAAGTAAAATAAAGAAGATGTTTTTACCCAGATAAAGAATAAAAATAATTTTAAGAAATATGCACTATTCAATCCTTTTCTCATAACAATTTTATTAAATAATAATATTTTAAAACGGTAAAAGTGTTTGAATAATGTAATGGAAAAAAAAGATTATTCACATAGTGCAGTCGAACAATTATTTGTTTAAGTAGGGTGATTGTTATAGATCTTCAGGAGCACATGGCGACCTTCATAGGTCTCCAGGAGCACACGGCGACCGGCGACCTATGAAGCACTTGACAACCTATAGAGCTGCAATAGCTAGGGAAGAGAGAAGAGTTACTGCAACAGAGGAAGCTTTGTCGCAAGGAGCACTTGGCAACCAATGAGGTCACTGTAACAAACACCTTAATTCAAGAAATAAATTAGGTAAAACCATATATGGAGAAATTTTTTTTCAACGCCATGGGCGAGGAAGCCATTTTAAAATACTAAAATATATAGTGGTAAACATAACCCATACCTCCCATCGTAGTAAACATAATCCGCATTCTAGATTTGGTTGAGAGGGAAATGAAATGAAATCAATACTCTTTTATCTCAAAAAGATAAAAAAAAAGAAAACGTCTGAACCAACAATACTCGATAACTCTGGGAAAACAATTTTACCACAGGGAAATGCTTTTTAGTGACGTGTAAATGAGTGGAGATACCCAATTTTTTTTTTTAAAAAAAGGAAAAATGAATTTGTGTGATCCACACAGCATATGCAATAGACGCGGCGAAACGATTGAATAAGGTTTGCTTTTATAAGCTAATTGTAAATAAGAAAAGATGGGTTATGCCGTGGAACCCACTTCCAATGGAGGACTTTGGGTGGCGCAGTGGGACGTGCACCGCACTAGTCCCCCTTTGAACAAAATATCCTCTTCATTCTTTGTTTTTTTACTGGTATAATAATACTGAAATGTAAGACGGGTCGTTAAAACGTAACAAACCACGCATCATGTCTCTCTTAATCAAATGATTTTCTCTTTCCTTGTTGCATGAGGAATCGGCAATTAGCTGACTTCATCTTCTTTCGCCTACATCTTCTCCGTTTAGGTTTAAAGATTCTTCAAAGTGAAAGCCATGTTAGAACTATCAAAACAAACTTGAATGCAGCAGCTATAACATTAACTCTGCTCAATGCTCATAACTTGATGAAAACCAAATATCTGAATGCTTAATGCTTAATAGCTGTTCAACATTTTGCCAATCTTTGTTTTATTTTCCCAAGTCAAATGGTATATATATATATATACAGTCCATTTTATTAAACCAGATGAATCATTTTGTTTTCTCAATCAAAGTTAAACGTGCAAGCGGGCGAGCCTATCCTCAATTTTCACTGATCTTACAATTTTCATGTCCCTTCAACAAAATTCAGAAAGTGCTTCAATGGAGTATTAAATAAAAGGGGTAAAAGTGGAAAATTTCTCTAACTCTTTATCGTCTTCTCTTCGTTATTCACTACATGATCGCCGGTATATAAAAAAAGACCGTTTTTCTAAGACAAAAGTGTTCTCAGACGAAGAGTACTTTCAAAATCTTTCTCTTCTGCCTTCCTTCATTTTCGTTGCTCTCGGAAATAGTTATCTCCGATTCCTCCGAATAAAGCGACAGCGTTTTTGCTCTCTTCTTTTCTTCCTCGTAGCGCTTTCCGCTACGTCTTCCTCCACCGGACTTTGTCATCAAAGAGAGGCTTAGATCCGACACCGTTAAAGCCGTTTGATTCTCCATCATCATCCTCATCAAAGGCTTCGAGTCAGCGTAGTGGTTCTGGAAGTTGTACGAGATGTTTCCATAAAAACGATCAGATGACTCATCGTAACTCGGCGACCTAACTTCCGCTATGATCCCCGGATTGGCCGTAAAGCTCCGCCTTGAAGAACTGTATCCACCGCCGCCTGGCAGATATGCCAGTCCCCACTGGATAACAGCCCTACCGCTCCGTTCACCGGATTCACGGTACGACCACATGCCTCGAACAGTAAAGACTGAAACAAAGCTATAAAAAATCCAAACAAAAAACACACTTAATTATACTTCAAATAATCAAAACAGAAAATCAATGACGTAAATAAAAAAAAAGTGAGAAAGAGTACCAGGTTGTTGGGATTCAGGGACGGAAGAGATAAGAGAAAGGAGGTCACTGCGGCCGAAGAGCTTGGCGAGAAATAAGGTAGCGTTGCCCTGGGCTTCGGGGGACTCGATCCAACGTAAAGCTTGATCGTAACACACATGTCTCCTTGCACCCTTTTCGGAGCACTCGACAACCGTTGCAGCTCATGTTTCCTCAGCTTGTCTTCAAAACAAAGAAAAAGAATAGAAAAGAAAAAAAGCTGATCCTTTTGTTGACCGGAGAGTACTTGAGTTTCAAGCAAGTAGGTAAAGAAAGTGAGCTAAAGGAGTAAGCTTGAAGAACCACATGAGAATGAAGAGAGACAGGGTATTTTAATCAACGTGATAGTTTAGGGTTAGGTTGACCATGGTTGGGTTTAGAGGTATCCTTATTTTTATGAGGTGAGAGAATATGAATATCTTCCTAAGTCTGGGCATGAGCGGCTCAGTGTTTCCGCTTTCTTTTTGATGTGTTCATGTCCACCGTTGGATTCCAACTTTTTTATTGATGTAGATCGTTGGATTGGTTTTGTCCATCCAATTTTTTCCATCTTTTTTGTACAAAATGATCAAACACTAACCATGATCTTCTTCCGACTTCAACCCTAACCCTTTTCTTCTCAACAATTTGATTGTTGTGTGGAGTAAATTTAAAAGAAACGAGTAAGGCATAGCTTTAAAAGAGTAAATTAAAGAAAGAATGATTTATGACAATATTTGTGGGGGGATAAAATCTTACAGGAGATGGGGGTACGTAGAGTAGTTGAGGACAAACCAGACAACGATATCCTTATCAGAAAAAGGCTCTACCTTTACTTTAGCATTAGTCAATAAATAGTAATGGAACATCTGGGTTGCCATAGGAATATAATTTTGATTTTCTCGACAATCCTACCTAGTTCAGAGCTATGCTCGACACCATCCAACCTTTCTTTAGCTGTCTAAATTCTATTTGCTGCGTACACAGATCGACGTGTAACCAATTTAAAATCTGTCTCCCACCATCAACAAGTTTAGCTTCAACATACCCTATTTCAAAGCCTTATCTTTGGAGACGTGATCACCGTCATTACTTATCTTCTTCTTATCTGTTGAATAACATGAAACCCTGTGTTTGTGTTTTGTGAGTCTAGGGTACTGTGATTTGTAACCGGTCGATGGCAGATTGGGAGGGAGAGAGCTGCCCATTCCATGGCAGATAACAACAGAATAATTGGTTGAAAGCATATGTGTTGAGGATAGGGTAAGTACTTTATATTCCTCTAGTGACCATCAAACTTTTGTCTCATTACTTATCCAAAAAAAAAAAACTTTTGTCTCATTATATATGTGTGTGTGTGGGGTTTGTTTCAATTTCACTTGGGACCTACCATGGTGAAAAAGTAAATCTAATTCTCTTTTACTTGGATAATCTCTTACAGCACTTTTCAACTGTTTCCGAACTAAGACCATTGAAATAACTTTTTTGTTCATGGATAAATGATCATTTTACCTACTCCACAATAATGAGAATACCATCAAATGTAATATTAATCATTGAAGTATACATAAATGCTTGCACCAGTAATATCTCATGTTTGATACTTCTACACACAGTCATACATATATTATTAACCCAATTAAGGAATAAATATAACGAACACCAAATCAGTGCAGAGTTTACACCTTCCTAACCAAACTTTATTAGTAGAAAGCAGCCAAGTGGATCTCATCAGAGACCACAAGAAAACTTCTGACATTCAGTTCATACATGTTCTTGATGTCAGTATTTTCTTTTTGAGCAAGTTTAGTGGTGGTGAATGTGAGACAATGACGTTTGTGGGTGTCCATGAAAATGACATCATCGTGTCTTTTTGTCAAATTATCCGCATATAGCTTATTGGTCTGTAGCAATGGAAGGCCTTTATAGTATATATACTACTATTACTTGAGCATGTGTCTTATCAGATACTGCTGAAGTGAAAAAATGTGTCTCATTTAAATGTCATTGCGTCCTTTAGTTTGCTTAACAAGTGCACAGTATAATTTATATATATATATATATATACTTATTTAATGGGTGGATAATGAGAGGTGGAACTTTAGGCTAAGCTAGCTACTTTCTCCTTATGCACTGAACCTCCAAAGATAGTCAAGATGGAAGTATCGAATGTCTAATATAAACATAGATGAAAGCATCTAATGGCTCATTTAAAGCATACACCTGCTATAAAGTTTGTGCCTAGATTGTGTCTCTCTACGCTAAACTTAGAATATATTTTTAATTAAACAACTAAGACTGGTAAATGTGGAAGCCAGGTATGCTCCACTCCATCCATCCCAGAATGGTAAACAATATGCACTACTCATCTACACCCTTCTTCCATCTTCTTAGCAAGCCTTAACTCAAAATTACAAATAATCAAGTTCCACTTACAACAACAACAACAACCGGCCATGGTGGGAAGGTGAAGTTTCTATACTGTAATCAAGGCTCTCCATGAATTCTTCGGCCATTTTCTTTGAAAATAACAAAAGGAAGTTGACTCGAGAGACACATTCTATTTGAATCCAATTTCTTATACATAATTTATATAGCACAAATTGTTTGTTAGCATTTCAAGTTTTGTTTATAAAATGGGTATACCCTAGAACGAACCAGTTTTACCAAGTTGCAACTCAATACTGCATCATATCTAGGATCCAGCTTGAGATGCCTATCTAAAGAATGCAGGTTAGGTATAGAGTCATTTAGAGCCGACTATGTTGTAATATTCCCATATTTAAAAATTATATTCAAAATACAAAATATGCATATAAATTCTAACTTATCAATAACTTATATATTAAAATCATGCATGTCATGTCCTAGTTCTGGACCACTTTTTGTTTCGATATATTATTGAATATACAGAGGGAAAAGAACAAGTGGTAAAGTTTTTAATTAATTTTGTGGAATTACATAGAATTTTTCAATTGTCAAGCTTTAATTTTTCAATGGATTAGGATTTAGGAACGTATTAAACGGTGAATAATGTTGGTATTTGTGGCTTAAATATACAGGAAGGGGCAAAGTTGTAGTTGGGCTAAACCACTTGCCAAAACATATTTTCCTCAATCATCTTCTTGAGTTCAGGTCAATGTTGGGCTTGTTTACTTTTAATTGACTTCGGCCACCAAATTAGAACGCCGACGTTTAGGTTGTAGTTGAGGTTCTAGGTATCTTGACACAACAAAGATTATAATTAGCCAAACTGGAACTTCAAAGCAAATGGTATTACTGATAAAAATTAATATAATATATGTAGTTGAAATGGATTTGGTATATGACACTTCGATTTCATTAGTTAATCCGATTAAACAAAACAACCCACATTTTTTCTTATAGAATATACATAGAGTCGGTTTGCCAACCACCTTATGTTAATCATGGACTAACTATTTAACTTGTATTGTTTAATTAATAGGAGTGATCTATATGACCGACCTACTACCAGTGTGACGAATGCCACAAATGCATTTACCAAAGGCTGCCTCATCTCTTCCCAACTATTGCTACACTTTGGCTGTAGATCCACAAGTAACCCTTTGGTACGAATTGCGGGGGCATCTTAAACTTTTACATTTCAATTTCTCCAGGCGGCGAAATTCCGTTGGAACACCAAATTCCTTCTCTCTTATCTTAGCTTGAGTGGGCAGATTAAACAAGGAATTAACATGCTTTATTTATACTTTAAAAGTTTGAGCTACTCGTGTATAAATAATTTAAAGGCTAGCCATTAGCCAACGAGACAAAGCACTAAATCCTTGGCACTTGGAGTGGACAGATGGTTGGCATCATAATTCACAAAGAAGAATCCAAAACTCCGAATCACCATTCACTGAAAAACTACGACCAGTGATGAAGTTATCAAAAAGAAAATGAAGAGAATACAAGGAGATCCCTTAAGCAAAAGCCAAGCACCTGTCATCCTAATCTCTTTCCCATACGAAAACGGTGTGCCAAAAGAAATCAGAGAGCTCACCCCATGCCTATCTGATCTTATCCACATGACATTCGATAAACATCCCTTCTCGTCACCTTTCCACTTTTAATTAAATATAATCCAGAATACTAGGCCAACATCGATGAACATGATACTCATCGACAACGGGGCCTGGAATTGCTGGTTTTTAGTACCACTCCAAGTGCAGCTACTCCACAAGCCCTTTCATGCAACAAAGCTTCAACAGTCCTTAATTTGCCAGAGCAACTGAGGCCCCTCTTTTATTGCTCTTGTTGAGTAAAAGAAGAAAAGAAACTTGTACAACGGTGAGCTGAACTTAATTACCAAATAGTATTGAATTAAATAGACTAATTAATAAACACAGTAGCATCGCCACTGATGAATTGCTCGAGTGTTATGTACAGAGAGAAAATAAAATGTCTCGGAAAACCAAAAGAAATACAATCAATCTGGTCGAAAATTAATTCCTACGCATCTAAAAATAAGGCTTTTAACTTCGAATTGTTTAGTTGACTTCAATTTTGGGTGGCATCTGCACCAACACACGCGGCTTCTTAGCGCGGTGTGGGCTTTCCAATTCATCATCAGCGCCAGATACAAAGAAATTAGCCGGTGAGAATTCTGGCAAAGCAGGAAGGTTGAGGTCAAATTCGACCCGCTGGCTGATACGGTTCATGGTATTGGTTGAGCCCACTCCTTCGGATATGGTCACGCCGCTTGCACTATTCCCAGCCCCACCTTCATAGTGGCATCGCTTGTGGCCTCCCAAGGCCTGGCCAGTAGGGAAGCTTTTGTGGCAGATGGAACACTCGTGGGATTTACCTCTTGGGTTCAACGTGGCGGAAATAACTCCACCGGCTGTCGCGGCATTGGTTGTTGACGTTGACTGGTCTTCGTTGGCACCTGAAAGCTTACGGTGGCTGGCTTTGTGGCCACCCAAAGCCTGGTAAGAGTTGAAGGACTTGTTGCAAACGCTACACTTGTAGCTAAGCTTCTGCTCTGTTGAGGTCGAAGCGATTGGAGTAGGAGAGCGATGGCGGTGTGGGATGGAAGAAGTGTTGGCGGAGTTGGCTTCGCCACCGCGTGATAGCCTGATCAGACACAGAGCGAGGTATTCTTCCTCGGTGGTAACATGATCAAAACGTGGTCGCTCTGAACGCTTACGCTTGGTCAATGATTCCAGGGAGTGTAAGTTGCTATCTTCAAAGTGGAAGGGAGGCGGAGCAGCTGTTGTTGGAGAGTTAAGAGCTTCTAAAGCCATCTGATTTCTGAACACTGAAAAAAAGAGAGAACCTTTTGATCTAATTCGAGAGACTTAGAGGAGAATGTAATAAAGTTTTGGGTGGAGTGAAAGAGTTACTAAAATTGAGAAACGTGAGTTGACACCGAGGAGTGAGGGGTTTTAAAGGGGAAGTTGCGTGACAAGTGGTGTGAACCCACAAAAGTGATGCTATAAAATAGTTGGTTATTTGGCAATTGGCAATTCAGTTGAGTTTTCTTGGTGGGTGGCGAAGAGCCAATTCCTCGGTGGGTCAACACAAATCCAGAAGGCCGTAGAGTGATGGTCACTTGGAAGGATAATATACAATAACAGACTTCAAAATCAAAACGCGGTGAAATCGCCAGCCACACACTGTGTCGACGCAGTTGATTGCTGGATGCCGACTCAATCAATTGCATCGCCCCATGATTGATTCCCGAATCAATTCCATGATTCTTAACAAATATAATATGTGAATGAAACTTACTAATAGTCATGTGAACAAGATCCTTTCAGATAATGGTTTTGATTATCACTGATTAATAATGTGAACTCATCAAATTTTAATTTGATTTGTTAATAAAATTTTCATTAATTAATATGATGTTATTCTATTAATTTTGAATCTTCAAAACGTGTTTAAGTATAATATAAGGCTAAAACCTAAATTTATTTCTATTATTATATAATACTAATACCCCACCTTAGAAATGTACCTTGATTAAATCCGGTATGGTTTGCAACTACTGATACTGTGGCCTTGTGATTCACGTCAAATTTGAAAGAAAATATTGGGTTTGGTTCTAAGCATTCAAATTTGTTGTTTAAAAAGACAGTAAAAACAAAATGGACTGTTACACTTATTCATGGGATAGTAAAAACAAAATGGACTGTTATTCATGGGATAGCTACAAATTTTATTCACCGGAAAAATACAAATCGGTTACTTACAGTAGTCCTCAACTCTGGGTGCAATAAATTAAGAAAGCCGGTTGGTTATTCAGAAGCAAAAAAAGAAAATATATTTTAGTCGGTAAAATTGAGGAAGCTACGCGAAGCATCGGGAACACGCGGGCGCCGACTAATGGTTCATCTTGACAATGAACCCTCCATCTAGCTAGTCCCAGAATAGCTGTTCCAAATTGGAACTCAACACTGAATCCGTGTAGTAATAGGAAACATTAAGGTGATTCCTTGAGATTCCGGAATGCGAAATGATCATCCAGCTCAGGTAGAGCAAAATGTTTTTAATCTTGAGGTCGTGGGATCGAGTTTCACGGAGGGTATTTCATAATTCGGAGGTCTCTTACGGAAGCTGCTCTCAACCTGGTGTTGGGGGTAGCCTACTATCTTACCTCCCCCTTATCCCATATATATGAGAAAAAGGGACAGCCATTCTTGAGATTCCAGAATGCAAGATTCACTCAATTAGGGCGATTTTTCTGATATATCATCGATGAACAGTATATTTTCTGATCTAACATCGGTAATATTATATTTTTCGATCTAACACCCTTAGTAGTAAAGCGTGCCCCCTGCACCGCACTATACGATGATTTGGCGCCACGTGGGGTATAGCGCACCCCCTGCACCGCGCTATACGGTGATCTGGCATACACGTGGATATAGCGCGGCCCCTGCAGCGTGCTATATGCCACGTAGGGGTATAGCGCGGGGTAGGTACCGCGACATACCTTTAATTTTATATAGCGCGGGGCAGGTACCGCGGCATATCTTTACTCCTAACATAATTTTATATAGCGCGGGGCAGATATCGCGTTTTGTATAACTTTCCTTGCTATAAATATCATTCTTTTCCGGTTAAGTTTCTCACATCTCTCCTCTTAACTTATAATTTACAACAATTCCGTAAGTTAATTCTGGCAATCTTCTCATTTTTATTTAGAAGTTATTTTTCGTTAAAGGTAATTTTGTTATAATTTTTTTATTATATTTATTTATTATTTTTTAAATTATATTTTTGTGTTTGTAAAATTAGAAAGCGGGAGCATACGTCGAAATAGTTATGCAGTGCAAGTAATAATATTAAATTATATTATTTAATTTATTTACGTTGATGTGTAAAAATTTTATTGTGTTATATGTTCGTTCATATATAATTTATTAAATCAGGTTTGTTTCATTTATTTTTTTTGCAGATATAATAGTGCCGCACTTTTAAACTCAAATAATAGCGCGACTTTCAGCTATTGTTTATTATGATGGTGAAATTCGAGAAGATGAAACTGGCGTTGTTTTCGCATCAAATGAGTGTGTTAAAATATCATTCAAGAGAAACATAACTCTTGAGGAGCTGATAATGAAGATTTCGAGGAAGATTCATGTTGGAAGTAGTAGAAAAGAGTCGTCGTTGCAATATAGCTTTCCAACATCATTGTTGCCATTAACTTATACAGCGTTCGAACTTTCGAACAATGATGATGTTGAAATGATGGTTGAAGCTCAAAGTAATTATTCAGACGCCGTTATTGAGATGTATGCATATTTTGTTCAAGTGCGTATTGTTCGGGGTCAATCATTAAGCTTCTACTATGGGCTGACAAAACAGTTGATCAAGTTGACAGTCCAACGACAGTAATGTGTAATGATTTTAATGCCATAATGGGGAGACATTCATCCGCAACTCCTTACGATATGTACTGAGGTAGGTCGACGAACAATCCGTATGACAACATCGCATCCAGTTCAAGGGGAAGGCATTCATCTGCAAATCCCTTTGACCTTAATATGGAGATGCCATCGACGCAACCATCTGTGCAGTTTCCATTTGACGCGATGGCTTCAAGCTCTAGGGGGAGGCATTCGACTGCGAGCTTTTTCGATCTCAATGTCGATATGTCTTCCATTTCAAGGGGAAGGCGTGCAAGTATTAGGTTCTACGACCTAAATGTGGAGAGCATAGAGGAATCATCATCTCCACCAGAAGAACCGCTTCGTGAGCCTGGTGCGGATGGTGCTGAGACTGGACTATTCATTCACCCAGAATCACCGCAATTCAACTCCGATGATGATGAAGTTCCAGGAAATGTGGCACAAACTGACCCTCCTGCACACATGTATGAAGCTAATTATGGTGTAATGTATGGGCCAGAATTTACGGATATGCCTCATCTCGGTGACCATGGGTATTACTCATCAATAAATAATTGTGAGTTATCTTTAGGCATGGAGTTTTAAATCAAAGAAGAAGCGATGATGGCTATCAAAAATTACAATATCCGTAATTCTGTTCAGTCCAGAGTAGACCGCTCCACGACCGAAAAATATGTATGCTACTGTGCCCAGCGTGAAAACGGATGCAATTGGATGGTTCGCGTATCGAAGAAAAAGAGGAAAAACAACAGATGGGAACTAACAGTATACAACGGTCCTCACACATGTTGTGCTGGAGGGGTCAACCAAGATCATCCCAACTTTGACTCTGAAGTGATATGTCAAGCCATCATGCCCATGGTCAAAGCAAGCTCTCATATAGTTGTTGCAGTGTTGATTTTGGCTATACAATCGTAGTATGGGTATACTGTCTCCTATAAAAAAGCTTGGTTGGCAAAACAAAATGCCATTGTCAAACTTCATGGCGAATGAGATGCATCTTACAACGAACTTCCAGGTTGGTTTAGGCTGGTGCGGACGTTGAATCCTAGGATAATTATGGACTTCGAAACCTCCTATGCATACCATAATGATCGAGTTATTCACGATCGATGCCAATTCTACTGGGTTTTTTGGAGTTACCCACAGTGCGTTAATGTTGTCAAATACTGCAAGCCTGTGGTCCAGATCGACGAGACTTTCTTGTATGGAAAATACAAGCAAGTTTTATTATTGGCAGTTGTCCAAGATGGCAATCGCAACTTTCTTCCAGTTGCTTTTGCTCTTGTCGAATGAGAAGATACAGCTTCTTGGGCTTTTTTCCTCCAAAATTTACGAGCACATGTTATCACGAGGGAAAAAATCTGTGTCATTTCAGATCGTGGAGCTGGGATCAAAGCAGCAATGGAGTCTTTGGGTCTAATGTGGCAATCACCCTTTGTCCAACATAGGTATTGTCTTCGACACATTGTCGCGAACTACCATAGAAGGCACAAGAAGAATGATGAACGTCAATTAATTGTGCGCATGGGTAAGTGAAACTTAGCAAGTTTATTTTCTTTCGATCGTTTTAATTTTGCAAAGACAATAAGTTAGTAAGTTATACATTTTTTTATCAGGTTACGAACTACTTCCTCGAACGTTTGAATCAATGTTTCAAGAGTTGCGGGCGAAGAACGAGGAAGGATATGATTACATCAGCCTCATCGATAAAGAAATGTGGACGAACGCATATGATGGTGGATATCGATATGGACACATGACGACCAACTTGGCAGAGGCAATCAATTCAACCTTAAAGGGTGCACGTCACTTACCAGTAGCGGCTTTGGTAAAGACTACATATTTTCGTTTGGGGGCGCTTTTTGCGAAGCTCGGAGGACAAGCTCAAACCTGGATGCAAGGCGGTTATGTCTATCACCCTAGATTAGTTGCAGATCTACAGAAAAAAATTGTTGCATCAAATGGAATGTCTGTAACAAGCTTCTCTAGAAGGCATGAAATGTTTCGTGTCACAGAGTTGCCGCGACCTCTTCAAGGGATTGAAGTTGTGTCATTAAGAGTAAATCTAAGGGACAGAACGTGCGACTGCGGGTTTTTTCAAGCTCTGAAGTATCCATGCTCTAATGTGATAGCAGCTTACTCGCATACACGTCAAGACTATAATCATTTTGTGGATCTCGTATACCTACTATATGAAGTTTTTAAGGTATACAAATTTGAGTTTCCCCCTATAGGTAATGACAAAGACCCTGATGAGGTTCAAGATTGGCTTCCGATTGTACCAAATTTGAGTTTATTGAGGGAGCGTGGTCGTCCAAAATCCAATCGAATTCATTGCGATATAGATATTAGAGAAAGATCTAGACAAGACAGAAGATGTGGGCATTGTAGAAACCCAGGACACACTAGAAAAACATGTCCACTTCTGTTGTCATCAAGTAACAATTGATGAGGAAATGATGTA